CAGCAGCAGCAGCAACCAATGTCGGTTTGTTGTCTGTAATAGCCAGGCATAGTTAATATGCAGACAGCCTCTGCAACCTATGAATACCCACAAGTTTTCGAATTGAAAAACGACTTGGTGGCCAGGCGTTCTTTAGTGTGAGACATGCTATTGTGCATGTACACAAGCGGAATGATTGAATGTCTAACCATATGGGACATTAATATGTGAAGTGTTTTTAGCTATGCACAATCATTTTAGACCTTGGGTAACAGCTCTCAAAGCAGTCATATGTATGATGGAATAGGGCATTGTTGTTAGGATTTGGGATTTAGCATGCATTTGTGCATTGTAAGGATGAGTGCTTGAAAAGTATTGATCACATGCAGCCCTTAAGCAAAGGAGCCGACTGGATTAATCTTTGACCTTTTTTATTGTAATATTAACAGGAAGGTAAAGAAGGTTGTCAAAAATACTTTGTATTTCTTTTTCCTGGAGGATGAAAGTCACTCAATTGTTTTAGGCATGTGATTTTGCTGCACATTTATAAACATTCATCTTATGTGGCTTAACTATTTTGTGTGAGGATTTATGATAGTTTGAATAATTTAACTCCTTCTGTTTTTTTCTAAAAGGTTACCAAGTGTCCCTACATTGAATAATGCAAAGGCTACTTAATTGAGTTAATTGGTTTAAGGGCGGACTTTGGATTACCTTATCAGTAAGATTGCCTTAACAGAGATTTGAGAGGCTAAAGAGGATTTTATCATGTGAGTGTATTAATCCTAATGGTAGCTGCAGCACAAGCTCAGCACGAGCTACTGATTGGAAGGATTAGTTCATATAACCCAGAAGTGCATAAGGGGTTGCTCATTATAGGAATATATGCAAACTCCAGTGAACACGCACTCATTTCCGTTATTTTCTCTCTCTCTTGTTTTTAGGAGGGTTTGTCACTGAGGGCAGACATGAAAACGTATTAATGAATCATACACTCTGACCCGACCTCCTGAAGATCACAGCATCCTACTCTGGGCAAGAAGGCAGCTTTCGACCTGATTTTCAAGCCGCTGTTCTCTGGCCGTACTTCCTGGCTGTGAAGGATGGGTGATGGGCCTGTAACTGCTCCTGCCTGCCTGCCTCATCCCACCCTTCAATGGAGCCGACGTGGAACTCCTCCCACGCACCTCCACAGTTCACATCCAACATGTCTGCCTCCTATCTGCCTGAGGGCTGGGCTCTGTCCCAGTCGCTAGCCCTGCTGGCCATGCTGCTCATGGATCTGCTGGCTGTGGTGGGTAACGTGGCTGTCATGGCGGTCATTGCTAAGGCCCCGCAGCTCCACAAGTTTGCCTTCGTCTTCCACCTGTGCGTGGTGGACCTGCTTGCAGCCCTGGTGCTGATGCCCCTTGGCATGCTCTCAAGCCGAGCCTTCTTTGGGGAGGCCCTGTGCCGGAGCTACCTCTTTCTCAGTGTGTGCCTGGTTAGTGCTGCCATCCTCTCCATATCCGTCATCAATGTGGAGCGTTATTACTACATCATACACCCCATGCGCTATGAAGTGAAGATGACTATTGGCTTAGTGGCGTCAGTGCTGGTGGGGATTTGGGTCAAAGCCCTGGCCATGTCTGCTCTGCCGCTGCTCGCCTGGTTCCTGCAAGGCGGGAGAACTCCTCTGCTGGAGAGTAGTGGGGTTGGGGGAGGAGGAGGTGGGGCAGTTCCATCTCCTCCTGCTCAGGGTCACAGGCGCTGCTCACTACATTGGACAGGGGGAGGGTCGAACCGCTTGGCCTTCATGGCCCTGTTTACTCTGGTGTATTTCCTGTGTCCACTTGTGGTTATTCTTGTTGTGTACTGCAATATGTTCAAAGTGGCTCGGGTAGCGGCCATGCACCACGGGCCTCTTCCCACCTGGATGGACACGCCTCGTCGCCAGCGCTCAGAATCACTCAGCAGCCGATCCACAATGGTTACCAGCTCTGGGACGGGCACGGGGACAGACAGAGCCACTCCGCAGCGTCCCTTTGGGGGAGGAAAGGCTGCAGCAGTGTTGGCAGCAGTGGGTGGGCAATTCCTTTGTTGCTGGCTGCCCTACTTTACTTTCCACCTGTATTCAGCAGTGGCTGCCAGCCCTCCAGCCACACTAGCCTCTCTGGAGGAGGTGGTCACCTGGATTGGCTACTTCTGCTTCACCTCCAATCCCTTCTTCTATGGCTGTCTCAACAGACAGATCAGGGAAGAGCTGGGAAAGCATCTGCCGTGTCTGTTCCGTCGAGCAGGGGCAGACATAGAGGACAGACTGCCCAGCAGGGAAGGATCCATAGAGGAGAATTTCCTTCAATTTCTTCAGGGCACCGGCTGCAACTTGGATCCACAAAACTCTCACAGCACCTCCAGCCCCAAAGGGGAGGCCTGCTGCCCCGCGGCTGAGGCCCAGCCCCCGGAGCCAGCACGGCCCATACCCATAGATTTCCGTATCCCGGGACAAATTGCAGAGGAGACTTCAGAGTTTATAGAGACTGAACAGGCGATAAACAACCACATATATACAGACAATTGAGTTTTTAATGTCTTGTTGATCATTCAGATATGAACAATTTCAGGAGTTACATTTGAGTGAAAAAGTAAGAGACTATACTGCAAGCTGTCAAACAGGTAACTCAGTTCACTTAAATGACTTTAAATTGTATCTTTGAAACACTTGGCCTCATCACATTTTTAAACGGTCACAATAAAATGAAGTTGTTTCAGAAGCATTTCAAACTGTTGTTTGTGAACAGGGAAATTACAAAAATGGCCTTCCACACAAACTAAGCTCTGTACAGTAAATTACTTTCATGAATACTAATTTGTGAAAGCCTTTTTTGACAATAATTATATGTTTTGTTTTATGAAAGTATCTAAATTGTCTTCAGTTTAATGTTTTCAGAATGGCCCTTTTGATTTTAAGTTAGGGAACACCTACTGAAATTCATTGGCTTACACTCAATCAACTAATTTGCTTTTGTGCGGGGAAGCTCTGCTGTTTGACGAATTGCCTTTAGTATTCAGGAAATAAGATTAACGGCTCCATACAAACTGATTCTGTATTTGTACCTGCCAAATCAATCATTTTCGAGTCTTTGGTGGGTTGATTACTGTTGAGTAAGTAATGTCGAAGAAGCTAGCAATAAAATGCACACATTTAAAAGTATTCTGGGGATTAATTGAAGAGAAGGCACGGTTTTCCCTTGTGATTGGTAGCTGTGCGTTCATCAATGTTAATGCCTCTCTTAACCCTTATGCCAATCTGATTATATGGGAGCGTCCATATTGTGGCCTCATGGAATTGCTACAAGTTGTTTACAGATCACCATACAATTTTGTTCTCCTTTCTTAGGTGCTTGACCGAACACATCTTTTTTTTAATATACTAAAAAGACGATTTATTGCAACTTAGTTTAGGATGCAGGTTGACTTCATAACTCATCTTGAGTGTCACGTAGCTTTATGCCATGTGATGTATTTCCTAAAAATCAGTATTCTCTTGATGCACTGCATTACGCTCAAATTTGATTCTATTTCTTACATTTGTTAAATGTAGGCTACTAAATTGTATGTTCTGTTTAATAAACATGTATACGTTTGGGTTGTGTGTTTAACTGAGCATGCCCATGTTTACTTTAATTAGTGAGTGTTAGTATTTGTTATGGATTTCGTTACAAGGAGGCTAATTTACTTTTACACGTATGCAGTTTTGACCTTTATTTGTTGGTTTTTCATCTGTGTAAAAATATTTTATCCCAGAAGGAGAAATACATATATATTTTGTTTGCTGATCAGGGCATTTACAGTACCTCAAATCCAGGAAAACTCAACATTATTTTAAAGTCTTGCGCTGTTCCATGTCAAGTATGACTCTTGAACACTTTGTTATAATGTTGCAAGGATGTTAAAGCAGGTGTTATGTGCTCCTTCATTGGAAATGAGGCTCATACTTTTTAGGATGCGATGAAATGGTATTTTTTAGAAAACTGTTAGGGATAGATATGATAAACTATATGAGGAAATGTTGAGTGAAATGACTTTCTTATGTAATGTGGATACAGGGTTTTTTAGATCTTATTTTGAGTTACAATACCAATCCAAAATCAAAAGCTTGTTCAGCTTGATATCCTCTTTTCATCACGTCTAAATATCCCAAACTGTGAATGATGTTCAATGTTTGTGTTAGGGTTTTCACTTTTTCAGAGATTGTTTTTTATGCTGTGATAAAAAGAAAATAATTAATTCCACTGTACTACAATGATATGATTGTGTTTTAGAAGAAGACATGGCTAAAACGTGAGTGAGAGATGCTGTTGTAATAAAGAGTTTCTATGTTTGTTAAACATTTTGGTTGCATTTTCATAATTTTAACAACGTTATGGGGCTGCTACTGCCACAAATTAATTGAAGGGATTGCAAATACAGATGGCTTAATTTGCTCAACATCTCAGTGTGTGTGGCTTGATCTCTCTGCTTTGCTTTGATATTCCATTGCAAAGAGGGTGGTGGGAGGATACGACACTTTCAAACACTTTGACCTTAAGGTAACATTTAAACTTCAAAAGGCCAAAGCCAGGAGTATGAGCTTAATCAGAGAGAAAAGATGGATACAGTAGATGGATAGAATAATAGACAGAGATAGAACAATAGATCGATAGATCGATAGATCGATTGATAGATAGACAGACAGACAGACAGACAGACAGACAGACAGACAGACAGACAGATAGATAGAACAGATAGATTTTTTTTAAAAACTCAGTTTAATGCTGTATTCCTGTTGGAAGATGCTAGTGCACGACAGGCCTCACACCTCAACGATGGACCTCAGTCAAACCGCCCCCAGCTTCGCCAGGCTCTGCCATCCCCATGGCAATTATTACCTAGTGACATTTCTCAGTGCTGTGGTGGGCGGGAGGAGGAGCATGTTCTGTTGGGATCCAACAAAACGCCCTTATCTGAGACTTCTTAAAATATAGTCTCTAGACTTAATCAGAGCTGACATTATTCTGTTGTTGTTATTTTTTTCCACAATCTCTGGATTGCTTGTGTGAGTATCTCTGTTAACTGAGACAACTGTACGCTCTATTCTGCTGTTTATAATGACCTTTGATTATTTATTATTGGTAATCTTGGAGTCCTTTGCATTAATGACTTTAGTTGTTACATTTACATTTTAAGACTCTTAACTTCTTTTATAATATATATATTTTATTTGCAAAAGAAACAACATAGGGATAAGCTTTTTTTCGACCTGTTAAATAACCTGGTAATAGGGATCTGAGAAATGCAATGCACAACTTAACTATTGTTGAAAATGGGATACTCAGTTGTGTCTTGAGATTAAAACTAACTGTAAAGAGCAAAACACATATGTTATAGAAGGAGAAGTTGCAAACCAAAAATATAAGAGTTTCAGGACAATAGGTTTAACAGAGGTTGCTCTTAGCCGATGAAAAACAAAAGAGAGTCAAGTATCAGGACTCAGAATGTCTGAAAGAGGGCAAAGGGCATAGCTAGAGAAAAAATATAACATAATGTAGATTATTGAGTTACTGTAATTATAAAAGGGCCGAATGGCCTTATAGCCCTAGCTTAATTTGCCATTGTGGCTGGTGTAATCCCATAGAAAGTTGGTCTCTATTTTCAGTTGTACTTGTGACAGACCTTGCACAGTAAGGGCAAATACTGTCACTGAATTTACCCAATATGTTGAATCCAGATGTTTCCTGTCACTACCTATCACAAAGAAGTAAAAGGAGATGGACAAGAGTGACGCTCGATTCTTTGGCAGAAAAAAACCTGGAAAGGACATGGACAGTGAGTTTTGTTTAACTATCCAGGCCCATGTAAACATTTCACAAAAGTAAATGTGTATGAGGGACATGTTTCTTGTACATATAGTACATAAACGGTTAAATCAAATCTTGGACTTCAGTCTTGAAAGCCCTGAGTCAGCAAACAGTGTTCCCATTTTTTATTCATTTCTGTCTGGCTGTTGGTTTAATGTCCTAACAGCAACTTAAGTAAACAATGCATTGTACAGCTAATATCCTAATTAAAACTGGTGTAATAAGGGGAAAGAGGCCGACAGTAAGTGGGATGTGGCCATTGGTCATACGAGTTTACTTTACCTACTTTTAAGCTTCTCAACTACATTCAGGGGAAATATTTTAAGTTTTACAATCCTTAACAAAACACTTGTGTGTGTGTTCCTGAGTGTTTAAAAAGACCTTTGAACCGCGCCTGTCTTTGGGCGGTGTCTCCTTTAAAACGTGTTTTGCGGAAACAGAAGGGATTTACGTCAAAAACAACAAAAACAAGCAAAGTTACTCGAGCACGGGTAAATTTCAATTCTTGCTAATTAATAGTTTGCTAGCCTGAATTGTTATGTTTTAATATATTTTATTTGGATTTGTTTTACTTGTCGTCAGCTTTTCACTAAGTAACGTAAACTAACCGACGAAACACTAACGTCAGCCTAGTTGTTTATTAACGGCTAAAGGAATAACACGTTAAGTGAAGGTCGTGTCAAATCGTCTGTGAGGTAACAAAAAGTTCATTTAAAACGTAATATTAGCCAGCCACGTAAAGGTGTTTAGAAACCATAACGGAAAGTTGTTTATATCTAAGAGATGACCGTCCAGGTCTCTGCTGATAGTTTATCAGTTTGCTAGCTATCTGTTGTGAGTGTATCTTGCTAAGTAGTCTGCTTCGTGCTTTGTGTTTTCTGCAGGCGGACTACAGGCTGTTCGCAGCTTGTACTCAACCATGTCAGGTGGTGGTGGTAAGTCAACCAGCAATGACACAGTGCAAACATCTTTCATTTATTACAAGCACTTAGTCAGTTGTGTAAAGTTACTACATAGATTTACTCAAGTACTGGACTTAAGTACAATTTTGAGAGACTTGTACTTGAGTATTTGCATTTTTTTGCTACTTTGTACTTCTACTCCCCTTCAATTCAGAGGTAAATCGTGTACTTTTACTCCACACAATCTATTTAATACCTTTGGTTAATTTGCAGATTTGGAATAATGATGTGAAATATAATCAACACCTTAAATAAGACTTTAGTTACACCTGGAGTAACATTCACAAGCTACCCTGCAGTAAGTATACTGCAGGGTAGCTTGTGAATGTTACTAATGAACTGTGTATACTGTATACACAGTTATTGAAACATGCTCCACCTTTACCAGCTTTGATAACACTTTAATGCTTCAATAATTATAATCAAAACATATAATCTATATTATTCTGAAATGGACCAATCTGCAGAATGACCACTTTTACTTTTGGTACTTTAAATATATTTGGATCCTAATACTTTTGTACTTTTACTCGAGTAACATTGTGATTGCAGCACTCTTACTTTTAACAGAGTATTCCTACACTCTGGTACTCCTGCTTTTACTTAAGTACAATATCTGACTACTTCTTCACCTCTGCACTAAATTATGTTTATAATATACTGATTGTTAATTTAAGACACGAGACGTTTAGCTTAAAAGATCTAAAGCGAACTGCGTAACTCCATGTTGAACATGTAACCTCTTTATAACAGCTGAAATCTCTGACTCTTTAAGTCAGAGATATATCTTGGGCAAATCATTGTCTTTATTGGCCTTGATACAATCAAAGGAGATTGTACATCTTCTGAAAAACCAGTGGTTACTTTGTATATATATATATATATAACAGTTTTTAGTTAAAGTATTAAACTTTGAAGATTAGTGCTACACGTGTTGAAAAGTACATATGTCACAAGCAAAAGTGATATACATGAGCACACTAACTGTTATCTAAAGACACAAAAAAACGAACATACAAAAAAAAACTGTTTCCGCATCGGTTTAGTTTTTGCAGATGGTCACAATCAGTTGTGTTTGGCAGTAGCCCTCTACTTGCTCTAATTAAAGGAAATAATACCTTGTTCGGTTGGGTTTCACATTCCACATTTTCTATAAAAAGCTTAAGAGAGAACACTGTGTTTTTTGTTGTATGACCTCTGCAAACATTGTACTGAAATCCATGAGCTTTGCTCTGAAGAGTGGGGGAAAAAAACCCAAGCTGCCAGTTATATCCAGTGGTCTAATTTTTTGCAAAAGGGTGTGTAGACAGACTGCTTAAGCAAACAGAAGAAGCAAAGAGAAACCAAAGGAGCAATAACAAGGGCCACCAGGCTAACATAATTCGCTGCTGCTTCTGGGTAAGAGAATATCAGTCATTTGGATTCAGAAATATGTCTGACATAGCCAGAGCGGTAGATTACTTTTTAGTTTCAAGGCCTCTGTTTTCTTACTCCCTGCTGCCGCTGTACCAGATGGTGAGCGTCAGCCCTCAAAAACTGGGTCAGATTTCAGAAAAGGCTGGAGACGACAAAAACAAGATCTTTATTTCAACGTGATAAAAGGTAAACATTGACTTTTGTCAGGAACTCATCAGGAAGATATTGTTGTCCCGCTTATTTGATAGGAAGGATACATTTTAAGTTTTTTTGTTATTTTTTTAAACTCTAGGTCATAGTTTAAACATGTTTGTGTCTTTGTTTCTAGGGTTAGGGTTAGTTCATTCAGGCTTGTAGTTTGTGAATTAGTTTTAGAGATCAGTTTGAGATTTTAGTGTTTTGGGCTTAGACTCAGACGAAGTTGTATTATTATATATGTGATCCACTCATTTCTTAACTTTCTAAATATGTAACCATCCTCATAATGAAACTCAAAAACCTTTCAAATATAGTCCCAATGCCAGTTTTCTTTTAATCATAATCCTTCAGTTGCATCAAATAAGTTGTATTCTGAAGTGTTTGAGTATGTGAGGTCGGTTGTTGAGGAGATTAAAGGTTAAATAATTGCTTAATAATAAAGTTGTCGGTGCTAGAAGGTTAGAAAACTGCAGGTACTGTATATTTTCTCAAACTGAAGCTGCCAGCTAGATCAACTTTTGTGTGCTCAGAAAAGAAAAACACATTTTTGTCTAACTGCATAAGCAGTTCATGCCACTAGGTGGTGATCTCTACTCTCTTTTGTAGCTCTCTTGCTCTGACTTATCTACTGATGGCGTCCCAAAGCTCAAAATACAATACAAGGCTTATAATATATACTATAGTAAGTGTATTTTGAGCTTCAGTAACAAACAGCACATGTGATGCAATTTTGTGGAGTATGTGCAAATTGATCTTTGAGATGAAACATTCTTAATCTTCAATATTTTAGTATTTTTCAGTTTTGGTAAATTACAAAACAACAACTTTTTATGTTTTACTTGCTTAGGCTCGGCTGACTTGTGGAAGTTTGTGTGGTTCTGGTTACTAGACTTCCAAATTATAATATATTTAATGAACTTCAGTGCTTTTAAACATCAGAGGGGAACCATGAGAGGAAGTGGTGCGTACTTGTCACAGGTTTTATAACTATTGGTTGTCACTGTTTATAATACATCATGCCAGGTGGGCCCTGCTCTGTTGGTTTAAGGCTGTCTGACTTCCCTCTGAATTTTCCATCAAAGGGAGAGTTTACTAGTCAGCTTACACACTAAGTTGTTGTGAGCTTATCTGTAGTCTTGTTTGGTGACTTAATGTTAATTTAGATCCCTTTCTCTAGATATCTAGTGTATCTTATTCCTTTTTTTAGGTGAGTGAAAACACTTTTGTCCTTCCCTCACCTTGGTGCTCAGCTGGTAGGATGTTGTCAGTCTCCATGCTAGAACATGATAGCTACACACTTTGATCTGCAATGGCCTCCACTGTGGCTGTTTTCCCCAGCATTAGCTTCAGGAAGCTCATTCCCTGGCTGCTAGGGCAACCAGGGAATGAGCTTCCAGCAGGAGCCGGGGAAGCCTTGGGCTGCGTTTCACCTCGTCGCTGTGCCACATGCCTGCTGACCTGCTGCTGGCGAGGAGGAGGAGGAGGAGGAGGAGCCAACTTTGCAGAGGAGCTTCTCCTAGCCCACTGTGGGTACCCCCCCCCCCCCCCTTAGAGCTGCTGCTGCTCTCTCCCTCTGCTGGCCACTGCACCGCTCTGACTCACTCTGCTCCAGTAGTAACATGAGCACAGGCGGCAAGATGTCATCCTCCTCCTCCTCCTCCTCCTCCAACAACGATGGACAAGGGAAGCCTAAACCTAAATCCCCGTTTCGCAAAAGGGGGAGTCTGCAGAGCACCACCAGCCCCGGTGAGTGTGGGGGAGAGGGGGTCCGTTGAAGGAATGAGTGAACTCCCAGGTGTTACATCAATGTCGAGAGAGAACATCACACAGATGCTTGTGCAGTGGCATTTAAGGATCTATGCTACTCACTGGGGGCAAAAAGAGAGGATCCAGATGTTGGGACCACTGCAACTCTAGTTTAGATCCCAGTTTAGTTTTGTGTCTGTTGTTGAGACATTTGGTAAATGTGTTTAAAGCTTTGATTTGTTGTGTATTCCTGATGCATGCTGCTTTGTGTGGACCTTCAATGCAATTGTAACTAAAAAGTGGCAACTAATGTATTTTATTGATACACATTTTGTATTCATTAGTTCATTGTTTAGTTGTTGGAAATGTTAGAAAATATGGATAAAAACACACTGCATGTCCACATAGCTTCACAGCCTTATATTGGTGATGCATGACTCAAGAAATGCTTGGAAGTTTAATTTTATAAGTTATAAAATTATCTATCAATAGCTTGAATAGTTGTTTTATTTTGTTAATCTACCCTTCAATAGGTCAGCTGAACTTGAAACAGTTCCAAACTAAAACCATCCTGACTGCTCAGTAACAGACACTGCTGTTGATATGTTAATACATAAACATATACATTATAACACAGCTAAACTTTTTGGATATGAATCTGCTTTTACTCTTTTTACTGTTACATGATGCAGGCTGATGGAAGAACACACTAGTGGGTTATAGAAAGTGTTTTCAGAGTGTTTCCCAAAGATAGCAGTTGTGTGGTGTGGCCGCCCAAAAGATGCACCCCTTATCATACTGATTTTTTCTGCCCCGGGGCTGACCAACTGAACAACAACTGGATCAAATGTAAAACATGTATTTTACTTTGATGCAATTGATGGAGATGAACATTTTAAAGTGAATGTTGTCATTTTATGAATGTTGAAGTGATATCTGTATGATTGGATAGATGTACCGAGCCCTTAATAGGCCTCTTTGCCCCCCCCTTGTAGCGACAGCTGTTTATCATGTGTCTACTGGATCCTCCTTATCTCGTTAGCTTGGGTAGAGAGCAGTGGGATCCTTTTATCTTGCAACTGCACCTCTCTCATTATAACCTCCTTAACGTTTTGACCAAAATCAATGTGGAGAAAACCAAACCTCATATAACATTTTTTTCTGTGACTACAGCTATAGATTACATCCTCCCTCTACATTTGAGTTAGATTCCTCCATTAGCATCCCATAGTGAAAACTTAAAACACCTTGAGTGTTAATTCATATTTGTATTGCTTGCTTTAGTTACAATGACCTCTGGACCTTTTACCTTGCTTTATAAATGTCAAACTGTAAATCAGTTCTATCTCAGATGTTATTCTATGAATAAGAGATTAGCTATTGACATTTTAATTGGACTCACCACAGGCCTGTTTCTTACTGGCACATGTTAGTGTATTAATTAGTGTTATGTTGTTGTTTGTTCCAAAAGTATGTGTAGAGGTTTCATTAACTTTTAACTGCGATGGGATGGCAGGCCAAATGATCAAAGCTCTTTTATTACCATCTGAAATTGAAGCTAAATTATATATTTGGAGAGAAAATAGAAAGTTAGACCAGCAATGTATCTATAA